CCCCAAAACCCCAAAACCCCAAAACCCCAAAACCCCGATCTCTTTTTGATTTATTGAAGCATTTTCAAAAAAATTTGATAAAATGTCTGATGATGGACTTTCGGATCTCCTAGGTGATGACCCAGAGGAGCAATATCACCCACCTGACAAAATTAAGTCAGTCGAGGCAATGAAGTTAGAGATTACAATGTGAGAATTATTAACCAAAAGCAAACAATTAGACCCAGAAGAAGCGAAGCTGAAAATTCAGACTTTGGAGCCACTGATTGAAGTTGCTACGCAAGCTCTTAAACAAAATAAGCTAGAATATGTAGACAACTTAAAAATGGCCTGGAAAGATCATCAGGAATGGCACAAAGCCTGATCTGAGGACCAGAGCCTCGGGGATGCTAAATAAGAGCCATCTTACTAGAATCACTAAGCGGATCGACAAGATAAAGACAGAGCTTAAGACTTTCGGAGTTGAAGTTGATGATCTTTCGAGTATTAATGGAAGTAACCTTCTTGATGAGATTGATACTGAAGATAACATTGGGGAATATCTCCAACCAATTGAACCACAGTCTGATGATAAAGCCTCAGGTGAGGACCAGACTCAGGCGAGGCCTAATAGAGAAGCACCTAATTCCACACAAAGAAGAGCTACTTCTCAAAGAAGGCCTTCGTCGGTGTTGATAAATTATGCCGAGCAAGATCCTAAAAAGCTGATGGAGGATCGTCTCAAGGAATATCTGAATGCGATTGAATATTTGAGAAAGAACACTCTCTCTTCTGACCAAAGTGCGATATTGGCCATCCTGGAGAGAGCTGAGAAGGTCAAGCAGCTTCAGGAAAAAGATAATATGAATGTTTTTGAGATCCCTAATCCTGTCACTCCAGACGATCTAATGGGCATGAGCATTCAGCAGAGAATCAGAAAGTACCAAGTGATTATCAATGTGGTCACAAAGACGATACAAGCTCTTGAAGCTATAGGAAAGAAGAACTTAAGAATAATGGAAGAGAAGAAAAGCACTGTAGCTAAACAAAATTACGATAGGGCAATAATTTTGTTTAAAGATCAACAAAATGTTAAATAAAGAGCTCTCTTTGTAAGTGAAGAACAGATGGCAACCTGTCCCTGAGCTCAGCAAGATTGTTGAAGAGTTCCCTATTCCAGAATGAAGAAACTCTGAAGAGAAGTTAGTTAAAGTAAAGCTCAAAATCCCTGCAGATTTCCAAAATATCAATAAATTTTACTACAAATTCAAATGGATGGACGGCAAACAGAACCTGAAAAGGATCAAAGCCAAGAATAAAGGTGACATAGCTGAAGCTGAATATTTGATCGACATAGGACATCACAAGAACTTCGCTACATTGAAATGAGTTATTAAAATTAAGCATCGACAGCTATGCTTTGCAGATAAAACTGTTCATAAGTGGGAGGAAAAACTTTTCCCTTTGAGAAATAATGTAGAAATGAAGAAAGCATTTAATTTTCAGAACCTTCGCTTCTTTGTGACAATCTCTTCAGATCTAAAAATAGAAGAGGGTTCAAATCAAGTTGAAATGATAAGTATTTCCTATACTCCACCTCCATTCAAAGCACTACCGAGAAGACCTGTAGAAGAATCAAAGAGATCTTCTGAAGAAGCAAAAACAAAGCCTCGACAAAGAGGGAGAAACACCAAGCCAAAGCCCAAGCCCAAGAAAAGTGGCATCCTGGTTCCTGAAGGGCTTCAAGCTGATGAAATAGAGAATCCTGATATCATCAAAAACCTATGGAGTTGATATTACTGCAAAGTAATGTGAGAAAAGCTCAAGAAAGCTCTATCTGAAGCTAAAAGCGGAGCTAATTTAGCCATGAAAAATACTTCAATGAAGCTCATCTATTTCCAAAGCCATTTAGACAACATGCAAAATGCCATTATGGAAGGCCAGGTTACTGAAGAACAGTACTTGGGATTTCTGAGAAAAGGTATTGCCCATGACAAGATCCTTTTGAAATATTTCCAAGACTCTTCTGCAACGGGAAAGGCTGACTTGGTAAAGCTCCGAATCGAATGCGCCCAAAAAGAACTCAACGGAGAAATCCAAGGTGATCAAGAGAGTGATGAGGAAGATGGGAGTCAAGATGACACTGATTTGAACCATGAATAACAGTCTAATTATCACTGCTAAATGGATTTTGAAGGATTCCTCTTAGAACCAATAAATGCCTCTTCTCTCGGGGTTTTGGGGTTTTGGGGTTTTGGGG